ATGTGATTGTTTTTATCTTTGGACTATGCCTCTTTGGCTTAGTGGATTGTCTGCTCTTTGAGTGAATACCCAGAGGTGTGTGCTGGGGTATCGCCAGGAAGCTCTGTTCAGTGCTCCAGGGTGAGGGTAGTGTTCAGGGTGATACCCTAGTTGGGCGTGGTAAATCAATCAATCAATCTCTTTCTCTCTCTCTCTCTCTCTTTTAATCAGAGAGGACGGTTTTATCAGCCCTGCTGGGGTAGTCTCATGCTCACCTCCTCTTCCAAGGAGACCAATGCCTGCCCAGGCGCTAGCCTCAGTGGGTGCAATATTCATCTAAACTGCCAAAAGAATCACAGGATCTGTGTAGTCCTCAGTGTGAGCATGGATCTTGCAGCAATTAAGGAGCCCTAAGCTTGTAGAGCCACCCATAGTGACTACTCAGAGACCAAGCCACACCCTGCAGCTTCCCACATAGCCACAATGATTTCACAGTCCATCCCAGTACACAAGGCTCGCAGTCACAAGTACCCAGCCTCCTGTCAGTTTTCCCTGCCAGACTCAGGCATCTCCTCTCAGCTGGTCCCTGGGCACGTGGACATAAGCTGGCGCAGCTATTACATATGTCCAAAATGGCGCCTGCCCTGTCTCAGTTACTGGATGCTGGTGCCGGATGGTGGGGGAGAGAAAAATGTGCCTCTCCCAATTTTTTTCCCCTCTAGGATGGCAGGTATACTGTTCCCCACTGGTCTCCAAGCTGGACTCATGCCAGGTTCTTCCTGCAGCTTTATCGCCAGTGGCTTGGGCTGCTGCAGTCTGGTCTCACCTCACTCTCCAAAGCTGGTGCAGAGGCTCTCAGCTGCTGGGGTCGTGAGTTTGCATGTCCACACCATCTACATAGATCCATAGGGTCCCTCTAATTATTTTATTTTATTTTATTATTATTTTTTTTGACTGGCAGAGTTAGTGAGAGAGAGAGACAGACAGACAGAAAGAAAGGTCTTCCTTCCGTTGGTTCACCTCCCAAATGGTTGCTACGGCCGGCACATTGCGCCGATCTGAAGCCAGGAGCCAGGTGCTTCTCCTGGTCTCCCATGCAGGTGCAGGGCCTAAGCACCTGGGCCATCCTCCACTGCCTTCCTGGGCCACAGCAGAGAGCTGGACTGGAAGAGGAGCAACCGGGACAGAACTGGTGCCCCAACCTGGATGAGAACCCGGGGTGCTGGCGCCACAGGGAGAGGATTAGCCTAGTGAGCCACGGTGCCGGCCAGGGTCCCTCTAATTTTGTGGAGTTTCCTCTGCAGTTTTCTCCCTAACTCCTCCCTGAAATTTCAGTCTCTCTACTTTTCTTTACAATTAAAAAAAAAAATCACTTCCTATCCCAGCAGCCTATTTAGAATTTTTCCTCTATTAACCTTCTACCACATGAATATATCATACCACAGATATATATCTGTTTATTGTGACTGTTTGAAGGACTACAAATCATTGGGATACAAAAGATATTTAAATTTTTATTATTTATATAAGGTGAGCAAATTCCATGTATTTCATATATACAGATTTGGGAGCATCCTGATACTGCCCACCCTAACCTCCCTCCAGCCCACACTCCCTCCTTACTTTCTTATTTGTTCTTTTAATTTTTACAATGATGTACTTTCAGTTTATTTTACAACTATAAGCTTAATGTTCCACTAAGTAAAGAATTCAACAAATAGTAAAAAAGAAAAAAACACTGTTCCTCAATAGTTGAGACCAGGGCTATAAACAATTATCAAACCTCAAAATGTCACTTTCACTCATACATTACAGGAAAAACATATATTTGTGTTTTGGGAACTGGCTTATTTCACTAAGCATAATGGTTTCCAGTTGTATCCATTTTATTGCAAAAAACAGGATTTCATTCTTCTTTATGGTTGAGCAGTACTCCATAGAGTATGTATACCATATTTTCTTTGTGCAGTCATCAGCCAATGGACATCTGGGTTGTTTCCAGTTCTTAGCTATTGTGAATTGAGCTGCAGTAAACACAGGGGTCCAGATAACTCTTTCATATGCTGATTTCATTTCATTTGGGTGAATTCCTAGGAGTGATGGTTGAGTCACTTGGTAGATCTGTTTTCAGATTTCTGAGGAATCTCCATGCTGTCTTCCACAATGGCTATACTGGTTTACATTCCCACTGACACTGTATTAGGGTCCCTTTTCCCGCACACTTGTAATTTTTTTATTTCTACATGAAAGCCATCCTAACTGGGGTGAGGTGAAACCTCATTGTACTTTTTATTTGCACCACCCTGATGGCAAGTGATCCTGAGCATGTTTTCATGTGTCTGTTGGCTACTTGAATTTCATCCTTTGAAAAATGCTGGTTGAAATACTTGTTTCATACTCTGCATTCAGAAATATAATTTTCCCAGCACCATTTCTTAAAGAGACTGTCCTTTCTCCAGAGATTACTTTTAGCTTCTTTGTCAAAGATTAATTGGTCGTAGATACATGGATTGATTTTCTGGAATTTCTGGCAAGATTTTTTTTTTCACCTCACCAAAAACCACTTTTGTTGAAAGTGTATGGACTTGGGTTGGTGCCGCGGCTCACTAGGCTAATCCTCCACCTAGTGGTGCCGGCACACGGGGTTCTAGTCCCAGTCGGGGCGCCGGATTCTGTCCCGTGTTGCCCCTCTTCCAGGCCAGCTCTCTGCTGTGGCCAGGGAGTGCAGTGGAGGATGGCCCAAGAACTTGGGCCCTGCACCCCATGGGAGACCAGGAGGAAGCACCTGGCTCCTCATTTTGGATAGGCGCAGTGCACTGGCCGCAATACGTTGGCCGTAGCGGCCACTTTGGGGGGTGAACCAGTGGAAAAAGAAGACCTTTCTCTCTCTCTGTCTCTCTCTCACTGTCCAATCTGCCTGTCAAAAAAAAAAAAAAAAAGAAAGTGAGTGCATGGACTTGGGTGAGGAAGCAATTGACTGTGAAGAGTCTCCTTTGACCAGAACTGGGGCAATTTGAACTTTAAAAAGAATAGTTATTATAATTAAGGTACAACTGAATATATAAAAATCCACAAGCCCATAATGGATCTCACAGAAAAGAAAACAAACTACCCAAGTGCTTGGACCCCTGCTTCCATGTGGGAGACCTGGAAGAAGCTCTGGGCTCCTGGCTTCAGCCTGGCAGTCCTGGCAGTTGCAGCCATTTGCAGAGTAAACTAGTGAATGGAAGATCTCTCTGTCTCTCCCTCTTTCTCTGTAACTCTTTAAAAAAAAAAAAAAAAGATTGTATTTATTTATTTGAGAGGTAGAGTTACAGACAGAGGGAGAGACAGAGAAAGGTCTTCCTTCCATTGGTTTACTCCCCAAATGGCCGCAACGGCTGGAGCTGCGCCAATCTGAAGCCAGGAGCCAGGTGCCTCTTTTTGGGCCTCCCACATGGGTGCAGGGGCCCAAGCACTTGGGCCATCTTCCACTGCCTTCCCAGGCCACAGCAGAGAGCTGGATTGGAAGAGGAGCAGCCGGGACAGAATCCGGCGCCCATATGGGATGCCGGCACCACAGGCCGAGGATTAACCTACTGCATCATGGCACCGGCAACTCTGACTTTCAAACAAATAAAAACAAATCTTTTTAAAGAAAGAAAAAGAAAATGTGCCATCTAAAATAAAGGTAGGATTGATAGAAAATCACTATTTGACATCCCTAATAAATTAATTAGGGATTAATTAAATAAGGATTGGCGATGGATCCTAGCAACATAGCTGAAATATTTTTGGGGAATACAGGAATACCCCAATCACAAGGGAGAAACTACAGTGGTGAGATCCTGTGAGCATCACCTTAACCTAGTTTGTAAACTTAGCCTTACTTATAGTGGGACGCTGTACTCCTCCAATATGGTGCAATATAAAATACTCAACACCAGCTCTTGATGTATTAATAAAATTACTTAACATGAATCATCCAAGTAGGACTTTTAGTCCCATCTTCCAGTTTTTAGGAAATACACAACAGTGAAATAAGTTAAATGATTTTGTGGGAGACAGACAAGTCCACAATATGGGACATGATATTGTGCAAGACAATGGGCCTGTTCTTTTCAAAAATAAGGGAAGCATTATTCTAGATTAAATGAGGTTTTAGAGACAACCAAATGCAGTGCATGGTTCATGTTGAGATCCTGCTGTAAAAGGTTTTGGAAATAACTGGGAAATTTGAATATGGACTGGATGTCAGATGATATTAGGGAATGATATTTAATTTTATTGAGCATATTAATGGTGTGTGACAATGTAGGAAAATTTTCTTCTGTTTTACAGATGTGTATAAAAGTATTTAGAGGTGAAATGTTTTATAATATTTATTTTAAAGAACTTCAGCATGAAAAAATAAATATGGCAGAACGTTAACCTATTAAATCTAGGAAATAAGTATGTGGGTATTGATTGCACTTGTCTGTCAACTAATTTTTTAAAAATATGTTTGAGGGGGCCAGCTCCATGGCATAGTGGGTAGAACTACCACCTGCGGTGCTGGCATCCCACATATGTGCTGGTTTGAATCCCCTTGTTCCACTTCTGATACAGCTCCCTGCTGGTGGTCTGGGAAGGCAATGGAGGATGGCCCAGGTCCTTGGGCCCCTGCACCCAGATGGAGGACCCAGAGGAAGCTCCTGGCTCCTGGCTCCTGGCTTTGGATCAGCCTGGTCTGGCCATTATGGCCATTTGGGGAGTGAACCAGTGGATGGAGGATCTCTCTCTCTCTCTCTCTCGCTCTCGCTCTCTCTATGACTCTGTCCTTCAAATAAATAAATATTTTTTTTTAATTTTAGAAGTGTGAAAATATTCATAATATAAAGTTTAAAAAAATAAAATGATTTGGCTCAAGGGTGTCTAGGAAGTACTACTTGTCAACCAGAGGAAGAATAAGTTGGCTTTGACTTATGCTGAGAACCTTTGACTCTTGGATTCTTTCCTCATGTGCCTTTTTTTTCTTCCCTCTCTCCCTTGCCCTTATCCAGCCCTGTTTGACTCTATGCACAGCAACCAGGCCTCAGATGGCCCATTTTTGCCACCCCGTACTCTTCATTCACCTCCCCTGCAGCTCCGGCAGCGCTCTGAGAAGCCCCCTTGGTGTAAGTAACCCTTCTGAAACTGCCTAGGTTAAGGCCAAGAGGTGTGGAGGAATTCGTAGATGAGGAACCTGTCATGTGAAGGAAAAGAAAATGAGGGTTGAAGAACCAGAAATGTCCCTTCAGGGCAGCCGTCTCATCAGTTGTTTCCAAGATGAGGGAGGATCTGTCAGCATTCTCTTCACCTGTGTCCTGCACACTCTCTGCAGTCCCTTGGACAAGCTCCTTAAAGACATTGCCCCTGAGGACCTTTTCGACCAAATCAGGACAGAGAGAATTCACCCTCCTCAGACCCTCTTTGGTCTCTCCAGGGAAGATGACTGGGAGGCAATGTAGGTATTTGGAAATGCTGGAAGCAGGAGACTAGACTCTGATATTTATTTCTACATATCCCTTCTCTCAAGTTATCTGTTCTCAGTTGTTGGCTCTCCTCTCTTCGGTATTATCTCTAACCCATCAGCAAAGAATTTTGGTTGGTAACAGTGTGAACCATGGAGCCACAGGAGTTATTAGGGTGATTGTAGGGAGGGGAAGATAGCAGTGGTAATTGGAGGTGGGGATATGAGTCAAAGGCACCAGTGAGGGAAAGTCCTTTCCTTATCCTGCCTCTGGGGAATAACTGAAAGCAAACATGCCTCTCATGGCTGTACTTGGATAGGACATCAGGAATTTCCAGATTATCCTTTATTCACCTTGACATTGTCCCTTTACTCCTGTCCTGGAGTGTTTATGTGTTCTGTGCCCTGGGAAATCTTTTCCTTCCCACTCTGTTTCTGTCTGAACTTTTGATTTATCTGAATCAGACCACTTGCTGGATATTCAGGCAACCTGTATATTTGTGTAAAGCTCAACTTACATCTTTTTTTTTTTTTTTAAAGATTTATTTATTTGAAAGGCAGAGTTGAGAGAGTCTTCAATCTGTAGTTCATTTCTCAAATGGTCACAATGGCCAGGGCTGGGCCAGGCAGAAGCCAGGGGCTTGGAACTTCATACAGGTCTCCTACATTGGTGGCAGGAGCTCAAGGACTTGACCATTTTCTGCTTTCTCAGATGTTAACAGGGAACTGTATAAGAAGTGGAGTGGCCAGGACTTCAACCTTCACCCATAAGGATGCCTAGCATTGTAGGCGGTAGCTTAATCTACTGTACCACAATGCCGGTCCTCAGCTTACGTCTTTTTCCATCTAGTATACCTTTGATTCAGAATTAGTGATGTACACACAGTTTCATTGGAGTCAGCCTATCTGACCAGAAATAGGCTCTGTATCTTTTTAAGCCAATTAGTCTAAAACCATGTTCCTCTTTTTAAAAAGAATTTTATTTATATTTTATTGTTTTATTTTTATTTGAAATGCAAAGAGACAGAAATCTTCCATTTGCTAATTTACTCCCTAAATACCTATAACAGCCAGGCTGGGCCAGGTGGAAGCAAGGAACTCAGTTTGGGTCCCCCATGTAGGTGGCAGGGACCCAACCACTTGAGCCATCATTTGCTGCTTTCAGCATGTGCATTAGCAGGAAGCTGCAATCAGAAGTGGAGCCAGAACTTGAACCCAGGCTCCAATACGGGATGTGGACATCCCATGTGGCATCTTAACCACTGTGCCAAATGCCCAGCATCCATGTTTCTCTTTTTTTCTGCCTATAGTCTGCCTCCTCTGATTCTTTACAAAAGAAAGATAACCAGCGTGTGTTAAACTCAGTGACTGAGCCTTTCCAGGCTCAGGTTTGCCATTTTTTCAAGTTCTTTGATGAAAATATATTGTAGTCTTTGTTTCCAAAATCTATCATAATGATATAGTGCTTTAAAATATTGCTACAATACCATCAATAGATAGGATTACAAAGGGGAAATTGGGTTGGTCCCCTTCTAGAGGTCAACAAAAACAGAATTCAGACCCTCTTTCCCCAAGACATTAGCAGTACAGCATCTGAACTACATGTGTAAGATGGAATCTATTCTTCTAGCTTGTCTGACTTGGTCTCCTAATTTTGTTTTACAGACAGTAGTGGCCCTTCCAGCACAGTGTCCAGTGCTGGCCCTTCCTCTCCTACTACAGTGGATGCCAACTCCCACTTTGCCTTCAGTGATCAGCCCTCCCTGAATTCACATGTGACTGAAGACTATCAAGGCCTTGGACTGCTTGTTCCTGGGAATGGAGCACAAGAGCTCCCCACAGAAGGAGAGCGAAAGCTTTGTGATCCAAACCAGTCCCTACAGGAGGTCCATGTGGAGACCAACCAGCCATGCCAGGTGGTTGCTGAGGAAGCCAGCCAGCCATGCCAGGAGATCTATGACATCATCCAGCCATGCCAGGAGGACCATAACAATGTTAACCAGACATGCCAGCCATGCCATAAGGCCAACCAGCTGTGCCAGAAAGTCCCTGAGGAAGTTTGCCAGCCTTGCTGGGAGAACCCTGAGGGGGTCAGCCAGCTATGCCAGGGGTTTCCTGCAGAGCTTGGCAGTATGGTCCATGGGTTCCCTACAGAAGCTGGGGGTCTGGTCCAGGAAATCCTTGTGGAAGTTGACAGGCCAGCCCAGGAAATCCCCAAGGAGTTTAACCAGTCATGCCAGGAGTTCTCTGTGGAGGTTAGCACGCTGGCCCAGGAGACTTCTGTCATCAGTCTGTTGTCTCAGGACATCCTTGAAGTTGATAAACCATCCCATGAGTTCCCTGGGGAGGTTGATCTGCAGGCCCAGGAGGTCCCTGAAGAGGTTAGTCAGCAGTCCTGGGTGATCCCCGAGGTACTTGACCAGCTGCCTGGGGAGGGTGCTCCTTTAGCCCATTATCGATCTACTGACCCGAACCCTCAAAGCCAGTCTCAAGCCCATGATCAGCACTCACCAGCAACAGGTAATTAATCACTTTCCCATTAGTGGTGTCACACTATACCAGCCATTTGAGCCAGCAGCCTTTTCTGATGGCTAACTCACTGTCCAGCAGGAGGCCATGGCTCTCACCAGCGGTGTCTGAGGAAGCAGTCCTCTTAGCATGAGGCATATCTGTCTCAAAGTTGTGCTTGTGGAGAAGCCAACTTTGCATTCAAAGTAGCCATTAGCTCTTCGCCTAGCTGTTGGACTTGAATAGGATTTCCTTGGGGTGGGCTGATCTATCATTACCCAACCTACTTTAAGCACTGAAGGAAATCCCACACTGTTGAAAGGAAATGCCACTTACCTGCTGAAGAGACACCATTTAGCAGAAGGCACAGCAAATGTAAAAGAGGGAACTCCAGGGTCTTCACTATCTGGGAAAATAGTCACTACTTCTCAAGGTATCCTTAGACCATCTGTGCAGTCTGGGGATCTCTTGTCTTTGTTAGCTCTCCTCAGGTGGACCCAGGATGGCCATCTGAATTGTCTGGAAAATAGAGTCTCCTTCCCAAACATCTACCATGGCCACTAATCTTTAGACTGTGTTTCTGGGTGGTTCAGTATCACCCCCAAGTGTACCCACTGCCCTTGTCCTTTTTCTCTGGACAATAGCTCTAGGGAAAAGTAGGTATTAGATTGCTGTGCAAATTTCAGAGCAGCTACTTAAAATGCTCTAGGGGATTCTTGGCCAATCTGTGAAGTTGGGCCTCCTTTTGTTTCAGGGCTGTTTGGCTTTGGAGAAAATGTAGTAGAGAGAATCAGGTTCTATTTTAAGCAATCAGCAGAGATCAATATTGTACAGACATGAGCAAAGATTTAATATATATATAGATATATATATTTCTTTAGTTGTGCCAGGGACAGACTGGCCAAAGACCAAACACTCCAAGGTCCCCACAAAGTTTGTCCCTACATTATGTGTCTTTAGGACCAGATGTGATTATGAAGCTTTTTCCAAAGATATGGGGATGGGCAGGAGGAATTATGCAGTCATTAGAGTTGGGGGCTGGAACATTATGAGCGCTCAATAAATACAAAGTTATGAAAATGGTGGTGGTGATGGTGGTGATGAGGGTGATGTCCTTGTGAGTGAACATGACTCTGAGTCATGTGTGACAATCTGGATTAGTCATAAACCATTAATAGTTTATCAGGAATGGACTTTAAAAATATAGAGATCTGGCATCCCAGAGGGCCTCTATAGCAGTCAGCTCACCTTCCCCTTAATGATGAGAGCATGGAGGAGAGGGTGGGGATGGAAGAGCACTGAGTGCTTCACTGGGTCTCTGGAATCACCCTCTTGATTTTTCATTCTGCTGCTTTGGAGTGAATGGCGTTGATACAAAGGCTATGTCCTTTCTGTACTTATTGACATCTTTACATTGGAAGAACCCAGAACATGGTGAGGTTAAGAGTATCTCCCTCCCCATATATACACATCCCTGGCCACTCCTGACATACCCAGGACTATCAAGGGTTTTACCAAAAGGGGGAGATCTAACCTTTACTCCATGGAAATCATGACTACACATTGAGAGGTGTTTCCAGCCTCAGTAAACTCGATCTGTTAGGGGCCCTCAACTCTATCTCTTTGGTATTCCCCTCTCTAGGGTATCAGAACCTGGTTATTTGGTCCTCAGCTCTGGACCCCTTGGAATGCAGATCTCATTCCCAGAATGTCCCCTCCCCTTTTCCCCTCCCTCAAACCAAATGGATGTGCCCACTCTAGGCTCTTTGTGCCTCATACTCAGGCGTTCTCATCCATACTCAGAAATTAAGCTGACTCCCATCTTTTTCGCTGTTCTTCCACCCTGATTCTACCTCTCTTGGGTCCTGGAACTGCTTCCAGTAATCAGAAGAAGCTTTCAGGGTGAAAGACAATGCTGGTTGAAACAGAGATGGAAGCCATGGCCCAGCAACTAAGAAATATGTGGTCGGAAAAAACCAAAGCAGGGCTACACCGTCTGCAATGAACTTGATTTATTGTTACGTTGGAGGCGGCTCCATTACAGCAGCTGGGAACTCTAGCAGGGAAGTGTGGGGAGGAGCACAGCACAGCAGCACGGGAAGAGGGGGAGCTAGGAAGAACACAGGTGGGCTCATTTTGGTTTCCCAGTCGTTTGGCAGAGAAGGCGAGCCCAGATGACTATCAGCATCCAGGTTTCTCAGTCCAGCAGGAGTCTGGCGGGGCTGCTCACAGTCTTGCTTGGGGTGAGGTCCTCTCCTGGAGTAGTATTTTCAGCCTGTTCTCATTTCGCTCTGTAGGAGTCAAGCTGTAGCTCAGCTGCCTCTCCCTCTATTTTTCCTCCCTCTCATTTTCCCCAAGTCCTCTGGCCTGGCCTCCACCTCCCAAATCCTCTGTCCAAGAGCTGGGTTTGGAGAGGCAGCCAGCGTTCCCATTTCAGCTGCAGGATGGCACAGTGGAATGTCCGGGAGTCACACATCGCTGGGGTTTCAGATGTTGGGACGTCAAGCAGTGGCTTATTTTTAACCCATTACACACCAGGCCACAGCAGATGACCACATGCAGAGAAGCCAAGCAGGGGATGAGAAGGGGTCAGGATAATTGGAACTTCACAGGGTCAGGGAGCTGGGAAGAACTCTGGGACTGGGACTGGGCCTCCTTGCCCCTTTGTGCTGCTCAGTAGGCCTGATCTGGGCCCAGCCCTGGGATGTGAGTGGGATGAAGCAGGGATGGAAAGAGAAGCTCCTCTCCTCTCACCAGTCCGTTGGTCTAAAGAGCTTCAGGTTTTAGACTGAGACATTGAGATACTGAAGGAAGCAGGAGGACAATGTAGCAGCGGTAATACCCCAGGCCCCTCCTAGAAACCAGACCCTAGTAGGAAGATTGGGATATGAAGAAGGGGTGCAGCTCTGGGTACCTCACTGATGTTATCTTACCCTCAGGTCACATAAATTACTCATAGAAACCATTTCTGGGGTGCTAAATAAATAGATTGGGATAAAGATGTCCCTTGGGGTTGGGGTTATGACCTTGCCGCATGATAGAGGAGACTGCTCTCAGACCCATCCTCATTCCCCATCTAGTACCAGCATTTGGCAGTGCCAGGAGAGGGCAACACTCCAGGGTTCACGGGCATCAGATGACCTCCTACCCTAATTTTGTATCCTCCCCTAATCCTATCCCTCTTACCTTTGGCTTTGAGACCGCTCTCAGGAATGGATGCAGGAGAGGGACAACCCCTTCCATTTAGCCCAGCCTAAACCCCCACAATGGATATGTCTGCCCCACTCCCCCAGCTCCCAGCTCCCTCAACCCCAAAGGACTCAGCAGTAGCCATTCTCTAAAGGAGCTGGGGGAGCAGATCCTTGGGGAGGGGACAATGGGTCTTTCAGAACTCAATCTTGCAAGCCGGGAAGGACTCATCCTGCATGACCACAGTGCTGCTGCTAGCCAGGACCAGGACGTTCAGCTGCTGCTGCTGCTCGTGGGTCTGCTGGTACCACTCACGAGTCACCTCTGTGTCGTGAGTAGGGATCAGAGTCACCTAGGAGGGAGACAAGACATGCCTGGTGTGAGGCTGTGAAGAGAAGGTTTGTGAGGGGAAAGGGGCACCCCGTGGTCTCAGAGGGAGCCTTGCTACCTGTGTCAAGGACCGAGTCCTTTCATGAATAGGGACCGTATTCGCTATTGCCTGTGGGAGAGCTATGACCAGGCTACTTTCTGGGCATCTCTTGCTACTCACCTGAAGATTCTCCCCCCACTGGGCCTTGCCCTCCAGCAAGGCATCCAGCACAGCCCGGCTTGGCTCGCCATTGGCGGGGTCGTTGCCACTGACCACATAGTAGGATGCACGCACTCGACGGAAGAAGTCAAGGTCAACAGTCTTGCCACTGCAGTGATTCGGGATATAGGCGAGGTCCACATACACAGGGGGGCCGGAGCCGCCCTTGGAACCTAAGGCCACTGTAGGGACAAGCCAGGACAAATTGCAAGGGAAAAAAACACTTTTGGCAACTTTCCCGTCTCTACCACCACAGGAGCCTTTGACCAGCCCACAGCCCACCCCAGCCCACAGTCTCTAGTGATCTACTTACTCGGGCCTGACTTGAGTCCATTGACTAGGCTTTTGGCCATGGGGCTGTGTCCGTCCTTTTCCTCTGCTGGGGTGACCTGGCTTGGAGTGCTGCGTGGTCGGGGTGGGCCCCGAGAGGCTCTGTCTGTAGGCCCTTTCCCCGGAGTGGGTGACCGTTTTCCCCGAAGATCCAGGCGGCGTGCGGGGGATGCTGGCTTGGCCCTGCCTGGGGCCCTGCGCCCTACCCGCCCCTGCACCTTTTCCTTCTCCCGTAGCCTCTCTACTCTCCCAGTCTCTGAGCTGAGGCCCTCTGGGTCAGCCATGCATACATCAGGGCGGGGAGGCGCCGGGCGGGGGTCTGGCTGGGGGAGAGGGGGTGGGTCGTGGCCAGGCCTGGGATGATGAGCCCCACTGACCCCCCCAGCTTTGTCCACAGGTAGGAAGTCCCCATCCTCGTCAGAGTCGAGGGCTGCCTCGGCTGTGATGGACGGACACTCCTCGGTTTCTGGAGGAACGTCGGAATCTGACTGTGAGGAGCCCGAGTCACTAGCTGATGTGGGCGGCGTCTCGTCAGTCACGGGGCAGGGGCCCCCTGTGGGCCCTGGCCCCCCTGCCCGGCGCCGCCCCCCTCTTCCTACCAGCCGGGCTTCCTCAGCCGAGAGGTCACTGTCATCTGTGCATGTGGGCAGAGGTGGGTTCAGGAAAGATGGGGAGAGCTCCCCGCGGTGGGGCCGGGGCTCAGCAGCACATCCCTGGGGCCCAGCCTCAACCCCGGGAGAGAGACTGTGGGGCGGGCCACCAGCGCCCCCTCCAGGACACAGCGGCTGCTCAGGAGAAAGCAGCGTGTCAGGCCGGGAGCTCCTCTCAGCTCCCTCGGGCCAGGCCCCTCGTTCCCAGGCAGGGCACGCCTCAGCCTCTTTCTCCGCCTTGGCTGTGGCGGGGCCTGGGGGCTGGGGGCTGGTTCCAGTTGGTCCATTGGCCGCACAGTCCCCAGAGGGACCCTGGAAGGGGCTTGGCTTCTTGGTGGCCGCCCCCAAGCACTCCAGGCGGCAGGGCAGGGTGCCATCATCCATGTCTCCTGGCAGGCTTGCAGCCGGAGCTGGGGCCAAGTCCAGTGAAGCAGTGGGTGCTGGACTCAGGGGAGCGAGGTCCCAGAGGCTGTGGGTGGCCGCTTCCACACCTGGGGCCAGCGCCCCAGACCCATGTTCTGCAGCCTCCAGGCCTGGAGGGAAACGCTCGGCCACACTTGAAATCACAGGTGTGGTAGCCTCAGAGGAGGAACCTTCAGACAGGGCTGGTGAGGCAGGGCGCGGCAGACTGGACAGGAGAGGGGCCCCAGGAGAGCTGGGTGATGGGAGCTGGGGCAGTGAGGAGTCCAGGCTGGGGGCCTTGGTCACTTCCAGGTACTCATCGTGGCGGGCTCTAGTGGGAGGGCCTGGGGCCAGAGCCAGAGCTCGGTCCCCAGAGAAGGCAAGGGAGCCGCAGGGAGCGGAGCGGGGTTCAGCTGGGGAGGGCAGCTGCGGGGGAGCTGGCTGCAATGAGGAGAAGCCAAAGGCTGAAGCCGGGAAGTCCAGGTTGGGTCGGGCAGGCCCCATCTGTGAGTCCAAGGAGGCACTAGTCTGTGCCTCAGTTTCAGGCCACAAGGTGGGGGGCCCTGCAGGTGTGGGGTGAGGGGGACTTGGGGACTGGGCCTCTTTCTCCGGCTGTTCCCGAGCCCCCTTCTCCAGCTCTGAGTCACTAGGGCTGTCATCCCAGGGACTCCGGGCTGATTCCTTGGGAGACGGGGTCCTCCTCTCCGGGCTGCAGCTCAGGATGTTACCATGAAGAGGGGGGCTTGGGCCTTTGCTCAGAGGGATAGGAGCACGAGGGGGCACTGCAGGTGGACTGAGGCTGGGCTCCACACTTAGCCCTGGCTCTGGCTCCCGCCGTGGGGGCACAGTGGGTCCTGCTAGGGCTGCATAGCTGAAGGCTGGCGTGTCCGACTGGGTGCCCTTGGGCGAGACGGGAGACGAGAGCTCCTTCTCTGCAGACGTGTCGCGGCCGGCAGCCTCCTCCTTCGTTGAGAGGCGTGGGGGCCAATCCCCGGCCGCTCCAAGGGGAGGCTCCCTGGTGGGGCACGCAGGGCCAAGCCCGGTAAGCATCATCTGCTCATAGATGTCTGCGTACTGAAAGCTTCTCTCGTCAGGATACGGAGTGGGCTCTCGCTGCTCGGGCTCCGCCTGCTCCGGCTCCCTGGTAGCTTGGCTCCCTCCAGCCTCTGAAGCCTCGGGGCCGCGGAGGCTGCTGTCGGGAGCCTCAGCCCCACCTCCTTCCCTTTCCCCTTCAGCCTTTCGGTAGTCCTTCCCCAGTGGGGAGTACGGGCCACCTTCCAGCTCGGCTGCCCCCTCCTGCACTGCCGCCACCACACTGTCATACTCAGCTGTGCCCCAGGAGAAGGGCGCAGGAGGGTGTGACTCTGGGGCAGGAGTGGGGGGAGCTGGAGCTGGGGAAAGGGGGGCAGGGGGCAGGGGTCTGTCCTTGGGCACCCACGGTGGGATGTCAGCCAGCCATGAAGGGGTGCTGGGTTCATTCCTCATGGGTGGCATGGGCTTAGGCTCTGGGCTAGGGCTCTCTTGCCCTGGTGCCGGAGGAAGCCTCAGTCCGGCCATCTCAGGTGGGGAGGTTGGAGGGGAGATGATCTCAAAGGGAGAGCGGGTCAGCTTGTCCTCTTCCTCTGGTGGCAGCTCGACTGGTGACTCAGCGAGCCAGCGCTCCACCTCCGCGCCCTTCCGCGGGAAGGGCTCCTGGAAATCCTTGAAGTCTGAGGTCCAGGGGCTGCAGGGGGTGCGCTCCAGGGGTGATACCTGTTGCTCACCATCCGGGCCCTCGTCCAGGAAAGTGCTCTCCCGTTCCTCAGGGTAGCGTGGACGAGCCCCCTGGCCATCCAGCTCGTGAGGGAACCAGACCTTCCGCTCGGAGCTCAGTTCCCTCCAGTACATGTCCTGTTCCAGGGCCCCGTCCTCTCGGCCCCTCCAGTACCTGACCTCCTGCTCCGGAGATGCGTCGCCCCAGGCCCGGGCAGGCTCCTGCAGCTCTCCAGCTGGCTCTGCTCTGGCTGGAGATGTTTCTCGCCACTCCTGGACCACAGCCTGTTCCTTCCAGGACTTCTCTTCCTGCTCGTGGGCCTTGCCTTGCTGCACTGGGCTTTCTTCCAGCCCCAGAGCTTTGGTCTGCCCCAGCACCGTCTCTTCCTTCTCTCCTGCAGCCTGGGCCTTTGTCGGGGACATCTGCCCTAGGATCTCTTTTGCTTTCATGGTCTTATCCTCTTGGGTTTTGTCCTCTCCTGAAGCCTTGTCTTTCTGTTCGGCAGCCGTGTTACTTTGCTCCAGGGCCTCATCCTTCTTTCCCAAAGCCCAGTATTTTTGCTCCAAAGGCTGATCCTTTTCTTCTAAGGCCTTCTCTCTCTGTGCCTGGGCCCTGTCTTTCTGCTCAGGGACTGTGTCTGTCTGTTCTGATGTCTTGCCCTTAGGTTCCAGAACCTTGTCCTCTGGAGCTGTGTCTTTATGTTCAAAGTCTTGGACTTTTTGTCCTAAGACTTTGTCTTTCTCTTCTGGGGTCTTCTCCTTGTGTTCCAGAACCTTGTCTTTTTGTTCTAAGTCTTTGTCCTTCTGTTCCAGGGGTGGGCCCTTTTGTTCTAAGGCATCATCTTTGTCTTCTGGGATCTTGTCTTTCACTTCTGGGGTCTTGTCTTTTTGTTCCAAGTCTTTGTCTTTCACTTCCAGGATCTTGTCTTTTGGTTCCGAGTCTTTGTCTTTCACTTCCGGGATCTTGTCTTTTTGTTCCGAGTCTTTGTCTTTCACTTCCTGGGCCTTGTCTTTTGGTTCCGCATCTTTGTCTTTCATTTCCAAGATCTTGTCTTTTTGTTCCGAGTCTTTATCTTTCACTTCTGGGGCCTTGCTCTTCTGTTCTGGGGACACATCCTTCTGGTCTATGTCTTTGCCTTTTTGTTCTAAAGCCTTACCCTGCTGCTCCACAGCCTCGTCCCCTGCTCTCAGAGCCTCATCTTTCTGACAGATGGCTGTGCCCTGCTCTACAGCAGTATCCTTCTGTTGCAGGGTTTTGTCCTTCTGCTGTACGACTTCATCCTTTTGTTCGGGTTCCCTGTCCTTCTCCTCGGGGGTTCCATCTTTCAACCGTGGAACTTTCCCTTCCCACTCCATGACAATGTCCTCCATGGCAGGGCTTGGCAGAGACTCTGGACTCTTGGTGATGGAGCTATCAGGTGTCATAATATGTTCGCCAGGGCTTGTGACCACGCCAGGTGAGTGCTTCTCCTCACCTGACAGTGTAGGATGAGAGAAGGAGCTGGCAGGTGATCTTCTATCAGGGCTCTCATACATGATGTCTCCCTGTGTGGAGTAGCCAGTGGTCTCATCTCTGGGAGGTGACAATGTGGCTGCATGAGGCTCTGGGAGAGAAACAGGAGCCGGGTGGTGAGCAGTGTCTTCAGCCTGCATCAGAGGCCCCCTTTCCTCCTTTCCAAGACTTAGTTCCCCAAACTGGAGGGTTCCGAGGCTTTCTGGGGAGAGCTGCTTAGAAGAGATATCCAGAGAGGTCTCCTTGCTGGGACTCTCCTCGGAAAGAGAAAGTGACTGGGTGTCTTGTGGAGAAGCCGCTGGCCAAAAGTCTCTGTGTAGGCCAGAGGGAGACCTGGGAGTGGGCTCTTGGTTGGCAGTGTCTGGGGAGACCACACTGAGGACAGAGAGGGACTCTGCATCTTCAGGAGAGAGGCTCTGGCCAGGAAATTGGGGTACCTCCTCCTTCTGAGGTTCACCAGGTTCTTGAAGCGACGGCTTCAAATCTCTGGGAAGGGTTTCTGTTGCTAGAACTGGGCCTGTGGGCTCTCCTGCCTCTGTGGTCTCGAAGACTATTGCTCCGTCCTGTACTGGCAACAATGGACTGGTGCGGCCTGCATGTCCCCCTGGAATATCGACAGGTGCCATCTGGGCCTGGGGGCTCCTGGGAACAGGCCTCTCCCCCTGCTTCTCTAGGGTGCCCTCTTCAGGCCCTGGCCTGACTGTCTCCTTTGCAGCATCTTCCGTGTCCATACCGGGTGTGTGTTTTGTGCCTCCCCAGGAGTCTTCTTCCTGAAAGTCTTGGGGCTCCGACTTTTCTTCCACGGGGGACTGATGAAAGGGTGTGTGGGTAGCACTGGGTGGGCCGGATGGTGGCGGAGAGGCCATCTTCACTGTGCTGTCATCCGGACTGAGGCACCGCTCCTCCACCTCTCCCTGGGCTGGTTCCCCTGGATGTAGGGCATGCCCAGGGGCCCCAAACATCGGGGAGCCATACTGCTGGTGAAGTTTCTCAGACACCTCTGCGTTTGCTGGCTCCTCTTCTTCCTCTCCCACAGCTCTCTCCCCAGGCAATGCTCTCCCCACCCCCTCTCCTCTCTTCTCCGACTCCCCAGCCACAGAGAATTCCTCACAGGGTGGTGATTTGAAGCCTTTGTCTTCCTCCAGCGAGGAGGTGGGTGAGATGGTGCCAGCCGACGGCACGTAGTCTAAGCCCTGGGTGGCCTCGGTGCGGGAGGAGGGGATACTCGTGACCGTGTCGAGCAGCAGGGAGCTTTTGCCTGTCTCCTCCGTCTGAGGAGCTGTGAGCGAGGCCACAGACTGGTCCTCAGCCACTGACGTGGCAAAGGAAGAGAGCTTGTCACACTCCGTGATTGAGGTGGCCGAGGACACGTGTTCCTCTTCAGCCAGTGGCGCGGCCACCAGGTTGGTGGGGTAGGGGAGTTCAGTCTCCGGCGCCCCATAGCCTTTGCTGGAGGTGACAGGAACAGCACTGTCTGCAGGCTGGCCGGCTTCAAAGGGGCCAGCACCTTCAGGCCCAGGGAGGTCAAAGGTACTTGGAGGGAATCTGGGTGGAGCCGGGCGCTCCTCGGGCTCGTCGTGGATCTCCTCATCGGAGATGGTCTGCTCCGTCTCCGAGTAGCCAGGGATCGTCTCATCCTGGATGTAGGAGACATGTTCAGTGGCTCCCGCAGGGGTGGCCAGGCTGCTTAGGAATGATGCGGTCTCCTTCTCGGGGACCTTAGCCTGGGGCCCCAGTTCCCGGCCCTCGAGAGCCTCTCTGTCCCTGGCAGTCACCTTGAAGGCTTCCTGCATATGCTTTTGGTACAGACCCTCAGCCTTCGTCTCCTCCTCCTCCTCCTCGTCTGACGGCCGTGCCTCCTCCATTTCTTCTACCTCGGCTTTCTCGATCACGTCCTCCTTCAGCTCGGGCTCACTCTCCTCTCTGGCTTCTGGTCTGTCTGGGAGTCTCTCTGCTTCCTGCTGCTGCTTCTCCTCACAGGTTTCTTTCTCTTCCTCTGTCTCTGCCCCAGAGTCCGGGCCTTGGTCCTTGCTGCCTTGTTCCCCAGGGATTTCTGGGACAGCTTCCTTTTCCGTCACACGCTCTTCTGGTTCCCGCCCAGGGACAGAGGGCTGTGTTCCCTGGGGAGCCAGGCTGGGGGGCCCCTCCTGTGTAGAATCCATAGGCAGTGGTTTCTCTCCTAGTCCTGTGTCCCTCTGTTCGGCCAGCAAAGCCCTCTCCTCCCTTTTCAGGTCCTCAAAGTCCTGGGTGAGGTCCTCTGGTGAGGACAAGGCCAGCTCCCGGTGCCCGGCGACTGATGGGAGTGGCGCAGCCGCCTTCTGGGCCGGGGGCGTCCGGGGCTCAGAAGGCGGCTCCTTCTCCCCACGGGCAGCCCGGCTCTTGTCCAGCTTCACTCTTGCAGGGGCCTTGGCTTTGAAGAGGGTCTTCCGTACCTCGGGGGTGAAGGGCTTCAGGTCTGGCTTGGAAATCTTCTTGGCCTCGGGTTTGGTGTCTTTCCTCTTCTCCTCCTTCCTTCCTTCATCCTTCTTGAGCTCCTTCCTCTCCTTCTTGATCTCTTTTTTCTCCTTGTCCTTTTTCTCGTCCAGCTTCGAAATCTTCTCTTTGAGGTGCTTCTTCCCGACCTTGTCCTTGATCAGCTTCCGCTTCTCCGCCTTCAGAGCCTCGCTGGACTCCGTCTTCACCCTCTCGGGCTTGGCAGGCTTCTCTGGGGGCTTCTCGGTGGGCTCTTTGGCCTTCTTCTCAGTCTTGGCTACCTCTTTGGCCATCTCCGAGCGGGCCTCCTTGGCTCCCTCTTCTACCACCTCCTCCCGCTTGGCCAGCTTGCTCACGGCTGTTTTGGTGGCGGCTTTGAGGCTCTCCTTGCTGTCTGCCCGCTGTTTGATTTTGCTGGGTTTCAGGTTGGCAGGCACAGCCCCAGAGGCCAGGTCCTTCTGGGTGGCCACAGGGTAGCGCAGGAAGTCCAGATGCCGGAGCTTTTCCAGGCCCTCCAGGATCTTGTTCTGGGGAGCGTTGCCTGGAAAAAGCACTCGCACGATCTTCTCGGTGGGGTTGGCTGGTAGCCAGACCACCAGAGCCGTGATGGAGGTCAGGTAGGGCACCGAGATCTCAGCCTCCTTCCCGTTGGCCAGCACGATGCCCGTCTTGGCTTTGCTGTTGCCTGCCCACTTTTGCATGAGGAACTGCATCTCCTTGCTGTCCTTAACGGGGTTGAGGACATACATGTCCAGCCGGCCCACGCCCATTTTGTGGAAGAGGGTCAGTGGCTCGATGGTGTTGCTGACCACACGGTACAGAGGCTCGGCCTGGATGCCCAGGCGGTGTAGGTGCTGCAGTGTGAGGCAGGCCTCCTCGATGCTGCGCTTGGCCTTGCGGGAGGCATCCGGCAGCCGCAGCTTATCGGGCACGTTGAAGAAGACGACGCCGAGCTCGGGCGAGATGAGGTTCTTCACCCAGTCGCTGTAGCTGCTCGAGCCCTGCGACTGCTCCTCCTCCAGCTCTGCCACTTTGCGCTGCAGGAGGCCATTGATGCCCGGCAGGTTGTCTGCCCCGATGTGGGTGAGTAGCACCGAGTCGATTCGGTCCAGGTGCCGCACCAGCTTCCAGAAGCAGGACTTGCGATCGGAGCCCCCGTCCACCAGGATGTTGAACCCATTGACAGCGAAGAGGGCTGAGTCCCCGCGGCCACCAGGGAAGATGTAGCAGCAAGGCTTGGAGAGCTTGAGGAAGCCCCCTGAGGTGGGGGGCTCTAGCAGGTCGAAAGGGGACGGCACGTCCACGGTCTCAGAGACGTACTCAGAGAACTCAGCCACGCCGTCCATGGCGGGCAGCCTGGGCTCAGGGTTGAGCCGGAGGTGCAGGGTCTCTTGGGAACTGGATAGTCCCAGATGGCTCCAATCACCCTCCCCTAAGCAGGACACGGTGAGGCAGGCCTGGATCCCAGGGTCTCTATTGCTGAGCAACTGAGCAATCTGGAGGAATGGAGACAGAAGCCTGATCAGGTCACTGGGTTGTCAGCCTGACTCCGACTCGGTCCCTGATCTTCACCTTTCTCCAGGGGCCCCTGACGATCAAGCAGAATGAGACCCACCCTTCCTTGGGTCCCTCCCCACAGCTCGGGGCCTGCCCCACAGCCGCTTCCCCATAGACACTTGGGTGTGGAGCTTACCTCCGGGTTATGTAGGACCTGGGCGAAGTCTTGGTAGGAGTAGGTGCCGCTCTGCAGGATGAGGTCTCCCCCAGGCTCTAAGCTTTGCCCACTCAAGATCAGTAGCTTGTGAGCCGATGGGCTGCTGAGAAAATGGCGAACCTGGGTGGAAGGAGGGACACGAATGGTCACAGATGTGCGGAACCCAGGAAAACACATTGAATTTGCCTGGTCCCGTGCTCAGTCCTGCCTGGACATGTTTGCCAGCAGTGTCCCCTGTAACACCTCCATGGAAGCCAGGCGTCGGAAGTCAGCTCAGATGGCAGAGGGAGGAACTCTTGGCCTTGAAGTGAGCACAGGCAAGGGCGGCTCACAGCCCCGGTGGTGGCCCCTTGGCAAGGCACAGGCCCTGGGCTCACCTCAGAGCTGATGCTGTCTGCGCTGGGGTTCACCAGGATCACAGTCTCTAGGATCTCACTCTGGTGGCAGAGGGTCCTCTGGCCTGAGGGAGAGAGAGGAAGAAATGTGAAGAGAGCAGCCGGAGACTAAAAGGCAGAGGCATCTGTTGTGTGGGGCAGGAAAGAAAATGGGGCTGAGGGGAAGGAAGGCCCTGGCCACCCTCAGATCCTGCTGCCTGGGACACTGCTGAGTGAGGTGCGGGCGCCGGGCCCTCCAGCCCTTCCCTTTCTGGGTTCCCCGGTCCCACACTGGCTGTCGTCTCTCCCCTTTCATTGGCCGCAGCCTCTGCTGCCCATGCCCCCATCCCTTCGCCTGGAACGCCCCCCTCAGACTGCCCTGTTGACAAGAAGCCTTTGTCCCTCCAGAGCCCTGAGTTCCTGGTGCTGCCTGGGGATGGGCAGCTCAGCTGGAGAGAGGGCTCCTGGGAGATGCGCCTCGCTCAGCTCCCTCCTCCCCGGCCTCTGCCCTGGGCTTCCTGGCTGCAAGAACATCTGAAAACCAGGAGCTGGGAACCTCGGCGTCTGCAGACTACACATCCTCCTCGCCAATCCCCCGCTCAAGGCCAGAACTCCTGTTCCAGAGGATTCAGAGACGCCTGTGTTATCTAAGTCCTTGGGGGTTAGCAGTCCAAAGAGTGGACACAGCACTGTAACTTCCTGCTGTGGTCTCTGGTTCCTCCGAGGCCCAGTCTGCACTCACACGCGCGCAGTCACTCTGTTCCCAGCTCCCTGTCCCACCGCTCCCCCACGTCCCCAGGCTTACTACCCTACAATCCCTCCCGGACTAACAGTTTCTCTTCTCACCTATGTACCTTCTACCGTGGAGATGGAGAGTGAGGTGTTCACAACAAGAAACAGGTAAATAAGGAAGGAGAGGTTCAGAGTTTCCCCCAATCTGTGCAAAAAGACTCCCTAAATCCCCTCTCTGCTTCCTTCTCCAGACCCACATGAAACACCAAGCAACTTAGCACAAAAGCAGGTCAGACAGAAGAGTCGGAAGAAGGATGCGGCCAGCCCCTGCTCCTGCCCTTCCTCCCCCTCCCCCAGCCACCACCTGCACAACAGCAGTCCCATAGGTGGCCCAGGGAGGGGGCTCTCTGGAGGATCCTGGTGGGAGGGCTCATCATCTGTGCCCTAGACCGTCTTTCTGTGACCCCGCTCTCTGCTCTCTCTTCTCTCCGGGGGCTGTTACACGGGGGGGAAGAGCCACCGTGCCAGCATCAGGCAGAACTGGCAGCACAGGGCTGCAGACGCAGCTGCGGGGGAAATGAACTGTGGCCGGTGTCAGACGCCCAACTCTGTACCGGGGTGAGCTGGGCCTCAGAGGAGCTTAGGGGTTCGCTCTCATCTAATAACTAGGAAACGGAGGGAACCTCCGGGGTCAGTGCAGAGGACGAGAACTCCTCAGAGGCAGGCAGGGGCGGGGCTTGGGCAGGTAAGGGACACCAAGGTCCTGGCAGCCGCCAGCACGAAATGGTTCAGATTTAGAAGGGCAGAAGCTCCCCCTTCACAAACAAGGTCACACATTTGAGCTAGGAAAGTTCCAAGGAATATCTACAGTACACACCGACTTGGTTCCTGACACCCGCTTCTCCCCCCAGCCCGGCTTTATAATCACAGACTTCAGACTTCTCTGAGCCCAGCTCACATCCCAACATCAGACCCCATCCCCAGCCCTGTGCTAGGGAGTGGTTCTGACTTGCAGCTACATGGTTTATGTCTTTTGCAGGCCTGGGAGAAAGCCCTGTTTCTCTCTCCGGCTCCCCTAGCCTGCCCAGTAAAGGGAACTGCCTGAGTTTTCCATTTTCCAGGGAAAGGGGCAGGGGCGCGGGGCTGGGCAGGCCCAGGGAGGGCAGGTGTCTCCGCAGTGAGGCGGTGGGGGTTGGGGGGGCCGGCAGCTGCAGTTTGCCGCAGTGTGTGAGTGTGTGTGAGTGTGCGCGCTGAGCTCGGCGCCGGCTCCGCCCCCACCCCCACCCCAGCATGACAAGTCATTTTCTTGGCTGCCTCTGTGAGGGGGGTGGCGGTGGGGGTAGGGGGGTTTGCCGAGAAGGAGAAGAAACTGGCTTCTCTGTTCTAGAGCCCCCATCTTGCGAAAAGAATGGAGAGGAGGTGGGGGTGGGGTTGAGGCTGGGAACCTGTGGGGTTGACAGCGCAGGGAATGCGGGGCAGCTGCTGGCCGGGAGCGTTCCCAATCTCCGGAGGGACCTCAGGGGGCCAGGAAGGGGGGCTTAGAGCCCCAGGCTCAAGCTGCCTGCAGAAAACGGGTTGGGGAAACCCACTGAGAACCGGCTGGTCTGTGAGGACGCACATGCCACGTCTGAACGACCCTTTTCCACAGTGTCCCCTAGCTTCCCTTACTTGGCAAAAACTGGCGGCGGCCGGCTCACCCCCCAGCCTAGGAGCAGCTGAGCAGTCCGAAACCCACACCCAAGGACCCTCCCGCCAGGCGCGTTCCCTTAACATCTCCCTTTCTCTCGGATTCTCCAGCCTCTGGCCAAAGACATCGCCTCCAAACTCCTCTGGCGCCCGGGGCCACCAGGCAGAGCCTGCAGCACCACCCTCTGCAGCCGCCCTGGGCTGCAGTCTCCCACCCCCAGCCAGCTGGGAAGTGAACTGTCACAGCCCCCGCTGGCCTCCACCTGGATCCAAATCCCGGCTGGCCCCTCCGCCAGCACGGTTCCTCTTCCCTCCTGCTCCCTCCAAGCCTGCCCACGCCACTGGACTGCTTCCAGAGGCCCCAGAAGAGGCATCAGCCCCCCCCCCCCATTACCCTCATCCCACCTCCCCAGGCAGGCTGAGCCCCTAGATTCGGGTCTTACCCTGCGGCGTGGGAGAGAGCCCCTCATGGAGGCGGCGGCTCCGGCCTCAGCCGGCAGCTTCAGGGAAGCGTCTGCAGCACTTGGGGTGGGAGTTGGTGGTGGGGGGTGCTGGATGGAGAGGGCGGCGCCAGGGCGGGGAAGAGGGGCTGGTCCATGACGAGGCACTGGAGACTTAACTGTTTCTTTGCCTTCACAGCATCAGGACTTAGAGCTCTGAGTGGCTCTAGGGGCCTGAGGGGTTGTCTGGCAGCTTCAGGAGAGCCAAGGCCATCACCTGTGGCCCACAGGACCCTTGTCCCCTAACCCACTTAGTGAAGAAAGACTCTCAGCATCAGCAAAAGGCCAGAGCCGGGGGACCGACCGGAGGCGTGGGCCACTCTGGCCCTCCCCCTTCTTAGAAACCATCTGCTGCCTCTACCCTCAGATGCATCCAGGGGGTGACCTTCAGTCCCACTAGGAGCCAGAGACAAAGAGGCTGGGGGCTTGAAAACAGGAGGTAGGGGTTGGGGCGCTGCTTGCAAGGAGAGCTGGGGATAGGCCCGCTTTAGAACAACAGCTACAGGAAACAGGGAAGGGCAGAAGTGAGTCTCATTTTAGGGCTGGAGGGTAGTTTGAAATTTTGGAGTGGATCTGGGGTGGGGCACAGGGACCCGGGGAGCTGCTTATAAGTTTGTCCCACTGCAGCACAGCCCAGTAACCGCAAAGGCAAAGGCACGGATCCCTGGGATTCTTGAGTCATTGGCTGGAAGAGGCAGTCACTGGAAGGCCAGGGAGTTTTCTGGCTTTCAGTGAAGGAGTTAACAAGGGCCCAGGAGGATTATCAGGGCCCCAGCCCCAAGCAAGGTGGGTTTGTTTATTTTTTTACTGTAGGCCAATTATTAAATGTAAAGCACTCTCTGGATTAAACAAAGTCTTCTTAATGATCTTGGAGGATGCTCGGGCCCCTTGTCTCTCTACCTTTCTATACTTTTTTGCTGCTCTGTTTCATATTATCGCGATGCTTCTAAAGTTGACCCGGTTTTCCTTACTCTCTACCTCCGTCTCAGATTTAGTGAAGTGCTCTCCAGACTCAAGGAAGGATCTGGGGAGCTCTGACACTTCCTCGTGGGGATGCTCACGATCTCACTCTCACACCCCCAGCCTTCCTCTCATCAGTCCTCCCTGGTCCAGGCCAGCTTCTAAGGCCTTCCTCACAGTCACAGCCACCCACTCACACCCAGGCACTGGCCCCACCCTCACCCCAGGCTGCCAAGATCTGCCTCTGTAGGTCAGAGAAGCCAAAATAGTCTCTGCTCTCAGCATCCTCCATCCCCCCCTTAACTGCAGCCAGAGGAGCTGAGTCACCAGTACTCTTGGGGGGGTGCAGAGGGGGAGGAATCCTTCCTCAGATCCGGGATGCAAAGCAGCAACACAGCAGTAGGCCCATTTGGATAAAAGTGGCCATCTGCAGAGGTCTACAATGCAAACCAGGCTGAGTTCTGAGCACCACAAAAAGAGACCTTCCTTTTGCAACTTCATAGCCCTGATTTCTTCCCACCCCAATAGAGAGAGTTTTCTGTCTCTTTTCTGCCGCCTTTCTAGGGCTCTCGAGTCATTTAGCTTGAGAACAAGCCAAATAGCATTTCCTAGCCCAATGCAGAGCCCATCCTTGTTCACAGCTGCCGTCTGCAAGGGCCACACCCTGGGGCAGGGTTCCAGCTCACTGTGGAGTTTTCCTCCAGCCCTCACCCTCTGAGCAGCCACCCACTGCAAACAGCCTCACTGCTGTGTTCTGAGGTTCTACTGCAATGGAATGGTGAGATGCCAGCGAGGAGAGAGAGAGAGAGATGCAAAGTGAGATCAGAAGTCCTGGAATTGAGGCCTTGGAGCGACTTAACAACAACCTCTGGAAGAGCTTGCTTCCTGAAAGATAGCCCGAGAGTGATATGCATGTCAGCCTCCAGTGCTGAGGATGGAATGGCACAAAAGATGACAAAGGCTTCCTCCTTCCTAGATTACTAAACCTGCAAGGTACCACAGCCCCTGACAGGCTCTCCCTTTGATGGAAGATTTCTGAGAGGTCACCTGGATGGTTAGGGAAATCCTAAGTCAGAATCACAGATCAAAATCAACTCTTGGGTACCCCTAGCACCCAAATAACCCCCAAACTAGAGGTGCCTGCAGGATGCAACTGGAAGATCTACTTGTGTTCTTGCTTCCCTATTTCAGACAGCGTTGTGGACCCCAGCTGCAGAGGAAGGAGCTGCTGTATTGACTCAGGATGGCTTTCATCCTGGTGGAAAGAGCAATTATTTCCTGAGCATATCAGTGGTAATGGAGTCAGAAGGCCTCAGATCAGTCCCTCAGCCTGGGTTTTTCAGTCTTACAATATCAGTTATGAATTAGGAAGTCCCCTCCTCTTCCTAGTAGAACTATCAGAATGTCACTGAATCTCAGTTTTCAAACACTGTCCTAATTGCTTCTGGGTTTGCGCTGGAATGCTCAGATGCTCCACATCTTTTGCAGGGGTTACAAAGGAAGGCTCCCAAGTTACTATTGGAAACTACCTGGTAGAAGCCACTTTTGAACATTTTTACCAGACTTGACCACTAGAAGGAGCTGGGTCACTTCTTTAGAGGGTCCAGTACCTTTTCTGTGTGTGGGCGGGTGAATGTGGAGGTGGCGCTAGCCAAGAATAATTGCACTTTTCCTGTCTGTGTAGGATACATTTCTATCCCCTTTCTTGGCATTTGGGCCCCAGGGCTTGAGGACAGGTGATAGGGATGGTGGCCCAGCCTGAGGGGTGGACAGAAAGGGTCAAAATGTAAGGCACTAGCACATGCCCCTGAGTCCCTCCCCGCCGCCTGGTGCCCTTTGCCTCCTTGCTACCAGGACGCTAAAGGGAGGGGCAGTGTCTGCAGCTGCTCGGGGCTGACTGTTGTTTGTGGGGACAGCTGAAAGAGGAGCCAGCAGGGGTGGGGCTGTGGCTGTCTTGAGCTGTGTGGGTTTTTCCAGGAAATTCTCCACTATTCTTCAGGGACACAGACAGGTCACCATGAAAACATCTAAACCCACCAAACTTCAGTGTACGAAAGTAAGTCCTTCTCTCGTGCAGATGGCCCCAAGCCCCTTGAGGACGGCACAGCAAGACTCTGTGACCCAGGTGGACTGGAGGTGCTTATCCATCAGCGCTGGTTTCTGAGAAGTGCCTAAGAGTCACTGTGCAGCTCCCAAGGATCCCTTCATCTGCATCTGAAGGATGGCTAAGAACTTTGGTTTAAGTTCTGTTCCTTTCTTACATCATTCTAGAAAACTGCCTACTCTCAAGTCTCTATGGCCAAAAGGACAAGGTTAGAGAATTCAGTGTGAACTATCAACATCAGCAGATCACCCTCAAACTTCAGTCCATTCATGAACCTCATTATCTTACCCAGCTTTGCACCCAGGCTCCTAGGTGCACTAAGGGACAAACCTGTGGTTTTCGATCATCAGGGACAGTGGAGGAAGCCGTGACAGGAGTAATTCTCAACGGAAGGCAGTCAAGGGTGGCTAGGTTTAGGGGAGCCAGACACCTCAGGGGGATGCAAGGGTCGCATTTTTCAAATTGCTGCACGTATTCTTAGGACACTGGAGCTTCCATCACATTAACCTTGCTTTCCCCAGCTTCCCAGAAGCGTCTCTAGAGTCGTCAGGCACCAGGAAATGACCCAAGGTCTGACAGTCAAGAGAGATGACTGTCTAGTGGAAAGCAGAATTATCTGTTCAAGATATGAATTCAGTTCTTCCGTGGTGGTGGCTGTTGAGCTGCATGGATTTTATACTCCACCATGCTGCATGGATTGGTGTGTCAACATTTACACATGACCAGATGTCTGAAACTTATTATGGGGTGTAGGGCTCTCTGCAGTTTCTCTTCAGATATCTATCATGGAATGGTAGTCTTTAAAAGCTGATTTTCCGGCCGGCGCCACGGCTCAACAGGCTAATCCTCCGCCTTGTGGCGCCGGCACACCGGGTTCTAGTCCTGGTCGGGGCGCCAGATTCTGTCCTGGTTGCCCCTCTTCCAGTCCGGCTCTCTGCAGTCTGGCTCTCTGCTGTGGCCCGGGAGTGCAGTGGAGGATGGCCCAAGTCCTTGGGCCCTGCACCTGCATGGGAGACCAGGAGAAGCACCTGGCTCCTGGCTTCAGATCAGCATGGTGCGCTGGCCCCAGCGGCCATTGGAGGGTGAACCAACGGCAAAGGAAGACCTTTCTCTCTGTCTCTCTCTCACTGTCCACCCTGCCTGTCAAAAAAAAAAAAGAAAAAAAAAAAAAAAAAGCTGATTTTCCCAAATCTCTAATGCATGTATCCCACCCAGCAGAATGGGAAACTGCATTCCGTGAGTTTTGACCTCTGGACGGAACTACTCAGACTGCAACTAGACTGCAATAACTCCAGGAGGGCCACTGTTGTGGCACCATGGGTGGAGAGATGGGGGTGTGGGGGAATGGAGGGTGGGGGATGGAGTTCCTGGCCCAGGCCCCAGGTGGGGACATTGCCATTTAGAGAGTGAACCAGCAGACAGATCTCTCTCTCTCTCTCTCTCCACCTCCCTCCCTCTCTGTCACTCTGCCTTTTAAATAAATAAATAAATCTTAAAAAAAAAAAAAACCCTCCAGGAGCTGCTTCGTCCATCCTAGATTTGATGATGCTCATCAGCCTTTGGCACCAGGACTCTGCTCTGCTCTGGAGACCTGCTGACTGAACCAGTGGAAGAAGCAGAGACCTGACACCCGGAAGGCAGGCTGTGCAGCCGGAGGGAGAATGCTAGAAGTCTGGGGAAGCGATGGGAGCTCTGGGGTTCTCTGTAAGGGGAGGGAAGGAGGCTGGGATATGCAGAAAAGGAAGAGAGCGAGATTTTGCATGGGAAATGATGGATCACTCAAGAGGAACAGCTCATTCCCTCCGTGCCTGTCCACAAACCACACTCTTCTCACGGAGAAATTACATCCTCCTGACTCCCGCCCCATCTTACCAACTGTCTGCAAAGTGTCCCATGGATAGCTGATGGCTCTATGGCCATGTTCCCCTCAGGAGTCCCTCCCTGCCCCCCACCCCAACATCCCACAGGGCCAGGTCTGCCAGGGAGACTGGACCTCTGACACAAATGACACTAGTCCTAACCTTTGACCTCTGAGGAGAAGTGAGCTAGGTGCCGGGTAATGAAGAGTCTCAACTGTTGGTTCAAGTCAAAGGAGGATAAGTCAATGTTCCAGGAGAGAATCCCTGTGAAAGAAAAAGAAACAACGAGGGTGATAGACAAGGCAGGGGTGGGGCGGGACTCAAACATGACAGCTGCCATGATCAAGACTCCCTGGAAGCTCTAAGAAGGTGGCTAGCACCTGGGAATGACTCCCAACTGCCCCTTTTCTGGGCTTGGCCCCAGCCAAAGAGTGGAGGGCAGAGTTGAGACTAAACCCCCGTCATTCTTGAATCTGTAGATAGGAATTTTCTTGTAAGGTTGCCCAGTTGTCTTAAAGGTGACACCCAAGGGCCTCTGCCCACCAGATTCTTACGGCCGAGCGGGCTTGCAGATTCTCCTATGGCCCCCTCCTTGCCTCCACCCCTCCGGGGCTGGCTTCCCCCCGCAGGTGTCTCCGCAGCACTGCGCCACAGGCTCGGCAACTGCGGAGGGAGGCGCGCACGAGGAGCCCCGAGCCACGAAGGTCATTCTCTCGGGTTGGCCGCCCGCAGTCAGGGATTTGAGATTTGTTCGTGGCTTTCAGAAAGCACCTAGTGCGGGTTCAGGGACTCTATAAAGAAGAAGCTGTAAGGTAGGGACACTGATTCTCTGGGAAATCCTGAAGACTTCCAGGACATCGGGCCCAAGATTGCGGGAGAGGGGTGTGGCCAGAGGGGGCCCAGGGGCGGCACAGAGTTCCTCCAGCTCAGGGAGACTGCGGAACACTCCGGGGATTCGGGAAGAACGGGGAAGCGAGATGTTAGCAGCTCGGGAGCTTACGAACACAGGGCATGGAAGACGCAAGTGACGGGGCTTAGATTCCAGGGAGTGCACACTAGGGATGGAGGGTGCAGATTGCACCTTGGGGTGGGGGAGGGAGGGTGAATGCAGATGGCGGAGAAGCCCGGGATGGAGGTGCCCGAAGCACAGACGGGACGGCGGCTCACCTTGTTCAAGGTGGGCCCGCACGGCCCTCAGCTGACTCTCTGTACCGATATCGCCGATCACGATGAGCAAAGAATGTTTTCGCAGGTCCCAGCGTGCTGCCGCCGCCACCGCGGTTCCGGTCTCGCACAGCGGCTCGACGGGGTTCTGAGCCAGCGGTGAGCCGGGGCTGCGGAGCCCCAGCCCGGGAGTTGTCTCCATGGCAACGCCGCGAGGCCGCGCGGGCCCGGCCTCGGTCTCCATGGAAACACCGGTGGAGTGCTAGGCCGGCCGCGTCCGCTGCAGGGAGAGTGCGCGCGGTTCTTAAAGGCCGGCGGCAGGAGTCGCTCATTGGCTGCTGCCTGTCAGGGGGCGGAGCGTAGGCGCCGCAGGGGGCTGGGCTGGGGCCCGGCAGCCCCGGCTCTGCGGTTCGGCTCCGCCAGGGGGTGGTGGCTGCCCCTTTCAACCACCCTGGTTTTCCAGAGAGAGAGCTGCCACTCCGACTTGAGCAGAGATGGGGGCTCACTGGAGGGGCTAGGCGATTGCCTCGGCGCCGGAAGAAAAGCTTCTAGTTAGGACGGGTCCCTAATAAGTACTGTCTGGCAATTCCGCAGCCTCGCCCGAACTGGGGGGAGCCATCTTGTCCCTGTCAGTTCTGGAGTTTGTATCGTCTATGCCAGTGTAGTCTCATTGTCTGGCGCTGTTTTTTTTTTTTTTTTTCTTTTTTGGTCACTGCCTCCCAGAGTGGTGCTGGCCTGCGTCCTCGGTTTCTCTGTCCTTGCCCCAGGCTCTGGTAGTGCACAGGAAAGCTGCGCAGTATTGGAGGGGACAGAATGACCTTCCGGCCCCGAGTCCCTGGTGAGTTGTTATTCCAAAGATAGTGGTTGGCTAGTCTCCATCTCTGCTGAGTGCCTCGAGCTCAGACTGCAGCACGCGGGGATGTGAGTAAAACGCAGGCACAGACCTCCCCAACTGCAAGCGATGTGACACAGTGGAATGGCTAACCTCGGGGCACTGTGGTATTTCGGGGAATTCTCACAGCGAAAGGGGGGCAATGTTTGAACCCGAGGAGAGGTTGGCAGTTCCAGAACTACAGAGCCTGGGGATGGGGGAGAGAACCGAGGAGACCTGGCACTGTCTGTGCCTGACGAACGTCTTTGTGAGCAGGGTGCTGTATGTCTACCTCCCATTCCTCCCCAGGTCTCCCCTGTCCGCTCGCAAAACAGAGGCTTCCAGGATACTGAATCGTCCTGCCTGTGTACGCACTGGACAGATGGCCTGTCTTTCACCCTAAGAGTTCCAGCAGCACTCGTCTTCGGTTTGTTGCTTTGTCTTCCACGTCTGAAATGGTACAGGGTAGAAGGCAGCACGCACCTGAGTCAGCAAGGCTGCCCGTGAGCCACGTCCAGATTGGGCGGTGTCTGCATGTTAAGTACCTCACAGCTGTCTCGGTTCCCATCATGGGACTGGTGTTAGAGCAAAATGGCCAGTCATTCTGTAACCAATCTAGAAAATCGTTTTTGTAGCAGAGAGGGGGAGTTAGGAGTATTGGCGGAACATCAGGGGGTGGAGGCGCCTCACCCCATATGACACAAGGCAGTGTTCCACACTTTTCTCCTGCCTCCCTCCCCCCAGTCTGCAGATATGAATCTGGAAAAGAGCATGGACAAATGTGCAGGCCTCCTCTTTTGCAATGAGAAAAGAGTGCTGTGAGAAGACAGAGCCAGAGAGAGGTTGTGGAGAGAGGTAGGGGACAGTCTCCATAGCAACCATGGAGATGAAGCCTTTAGCACAGAGTCTCAGTATAAGGGTCAGCAGGAGTTAACCATGAGCTGTGCTTTCATCAGGTCCAACAAAGAGGTTAGACAATAGCTCTGAGTGATGTTGGGAAAGATCGTGATCAGATGGAAGGGGCAAACAGTCAGGCTTATGGTCTCAGGCCTGTTAGGATTGGGTTTTATTAATTACAGCTGCAAACACAAACTATGATAGTATGAAAGCTGCATTTGTGTGCCGGATGAATATTCAGAAAACTCTTTGCCAAAGGTAAACAATGTTGCAGAAAGATGAGCCATGGGCATCTCTTAATTATCGCTCCTTTCCTATTAACATCCCAGCCATTGGGTGGTTCCTGTATCATACTATGAGAAAATACTTTTAGATGTCAATTTGCACGGAGCACTATGCAAGATGCTCCAAAACAAACAGTGTGGAGTGCTGGTATCTTTGCTCCAGAATTTTATGTCCAAAGGCAGAAATCATTGATGCACATATGTGTAAAACAGAGCAGAATAACAAATTAAGAAACTACACATGTGAATTGAAAACCATATCTTAATGTCTTAAGCTTTTACTTATTTTGTGTTTACCTATAGTGTGCTATGGCAGAAGCCTAGTGGAAAAGGATGTTATTCAAAAGCTTGTCCAGGGGTTTACTGGGGACCTGTGATGTGTATGAATAAGAGGTAGGTGTAGTTCTTTGTGGTGGCTATGGAGCCCACTGTAGTGTATCATTTAACTATTGACCCCTCCTGCAGGTATGACCTTTTGGGAGCTCACTACTGCTTAATAATCTTGTAAAGCAAGCATTGGTGGATACTGAAATGGGCACAAGGCAGAAAGAAGAAAGGTATAATACCTTTTAAGTGCTTTGAAAGGTATTATGGCCTAGGCTAAGTTTGTTTAGCTAAGTTTAAATCGGGGACATTTCAGTCTCCAGACCTTTATCATTTTGTAATGTATAGTGATCAATTCCCAACAGGTAAATTAAGCACAATCTTAATCAAATGAGAGGGGCATCTCTAGTTTTTTTCTGAAAATAATTTCATATTTGATATTTAATATGAAGTATTAAAGTTGTCCTTATGATGAAAAGAGAGCTTCATTGCAATTAATTATACTCATTTTGAATTATGTGTGTGTTGGGGTAGGGGAAGAGAGCCTCATAAACCTTTCAAGCTGCTTTAGGTCTCCCTAACATCTAAGCCAGCTCTGATAATTCACAAAGAAAAGATGCTTGGGGAAAACAAGACGAGAGGTGTCTATAGGTACTGACGTGTAGTAGGTTAAGCTGCTCGTGGGATGATTACATCCCACATTGAGTCCCAGTTCAAGTCCAGGCTCCTCTGCTTCCAATCCAGCTTCCGGCTAATGCATCTGAGGCAGCTGATAATGGCCCAAGTACTTGGGTCCCTGCCACCCACATAGGGGACCCAGATGGAGTTCTTGGCTCCTGGGTTTGGCCTGGCCCAGCCCTGGCCAAATATTGTGAATATTTGAAAAGTGAACCAGCAGATGAAAGATATCTCTCTCCATCTCTGTCTCTCTGTCTCTGTCTCTTTCTCCCTCTCTGTATCAGTATGCCTTTCAAATATATAAATAAATTTTTAAAAAGAAAAAAATTCCAGTTCCTCTCTTAATTCTAACCCAATGAATTTCTTCAGTTTTCCTGGGAGTTGAAGCTCATTTTGCGGAACCCTAGCCTGCTCTGCTAGATTGTATGGTCTTTTTTCTTTTTTTTAAAGATTTATTTTACTTATTTTAAAGAGAGAGTTACAGAAAGAGGTAGAGCCAGAGATAGAGAGAGGTTTTCCATCTGCTGGTTCACTCCCCAAATGACTGCAACAGCCAGAGCTGAGCTGAGCTGAGCTGAAGCCAAGAGCCAGGAGCTTCTTTTGGAGTCTCCCACACAGGTGCAGGGGCCCAACTCTTGGGCCATCTTCTACTGCTTTCCCAGGCCATAGCAGAGAGCTGGATCAAAAGTGGAGCAGCTGGGACTTGAACCCATTTGACTTAACCCACTGCGCCACAGTGGCAGCCCCAGATTGTTCGGTCTTAACCAAAATATCCAATGGGATGTATGTGCAGCTCCGATTTCTATCCTGTACTAAGTTCTGCCTATCAGGCATTCTTTACAGAGAGAGGGGTGTATTGGATTACAGAATTTTTGTGCCAGAGGTTCATCCTTGGCTTCTGGAGCAAATACAATGATTACAATGCATTTCAGCAGCCATTGGGTCACCTTTTCGTGTACACAGGTGGTTTATCTGTAAAAGCAGGAGGTAAAATAACCTCTAAAAAGGCATGGGGTAAAATCATCTCAGAAAAGGTTGGTCCAGCGGTGCACTCTGCATTTGTTACTGTGTCTGGCCGGAGACAAGGCTTACAACAAATGTTTTTGAATACTTTTCCTAATTATTATTTGTGTGCATTAAATGAATGGATAGAGCAAAGGTATTTCGTGTGCCTTCCCTCTGTAGAGCATTGCAAAAGGCAATGAAGAAATTTCCCCTCACTCTCCATATTATTTTATTAGTAAAAGAAAGTGATTCTAAAAAGTGAAAAAGAAATATTTATGGATACTGTCTTCTCTTATCCCTTTGATTAGCCTGTGAGGTGGTAGGAGTTTGTGACATGCATCCCTTCCATGCACACTGAAATGTACGCATGAAGCTACCTTTGTACAGAGGTCTCTAAGATTTCTCTCTTTTCTTTCTCCCCCCCCTTTCTTTCTTTCTTCCTCCTATTTTTTTGTGGTGGTAGAGCTGATGGTTGAAAAGAAAATCCAAATCTAAGCCTATAACTTAGTTTTGAGGCCATGCCTGTGTGAAAAATTAAATTTTGCATTAAAAAAATAACTGATAAAACGGAGTACTTTCCTTCAAGGAATGCTTGGATTGAAGAAACGTTGTGCCCTTTTCTTCCTTCCTTCTTTTATCCCTCCCTCCCTCCCTTTCTTCTTTTATTTGAAAGACAGAGTGTGGGGCCCTGCATCATGGCACAGCAGGTAAAGCTGCTGCCTGCAACATCACCATCCCATATGGGAGCAGGTTCATGTCCTGGCTACTCTGCTTCTGAGCCAGCTTCCTGCGAATGGCCTAGAAAATGGCCCAACTATTTGGGCCCCTGCCACTCATGTGGAACACCTGGATGAAGGCTTCTGACTTCAGCCTAGTCTGTCCCTGGCTGTTACAGACATCTGGGGAGTGGACCAGCAGATGGAAGGTTTCTTTCTCTCTGTCTCTCCCTCCCTCTCTGCGACAGGAACCCAATTACTTGAGCCATCACCACTACCTCTCAGGGTGTACATTAGATGGAATCAGGAGTAGAGAAAGAACTCAAAACCTAGGCCCTCCAAAATGGGATGCAGGCATCCCAAGCAGCCTCATCACTATGCCAAACACCTGCTCCTATGCCCCTTTCAATACCATAAATCACCCACATGTTTTTCCTTCCTTCTCAACAGTTCTTTCTCAAAGATCCTTCATAATGTGTCCAACTTCCCTTTCCAA